GCCATTGGAGGGTGAACCAACGGCAAAGGAAGATCTTTCTCTCTGTCTCTCTCTCTCTCACTGTCCATTCTGCCTGTCAAAACAAAACAAAACAAAACAAAACAAAAAAACACACACAACTGGTTAAGCAATACAAAACACCAGCTGATTTAGTAAATAACAAATAACTTATGGTCTACCTAAATGTGCAAGGCACTTAAGGATTTACATCAACTCATTTAATCCTCAGTATCTGATGAAGCAGCTAACACTGTACCCTTTTACAAATAGTAACCTGCTCAGGGTTACACAGCTATAAATAGTAGAACTGGGATCTAAACCAGTCATAATTTAAAAATCAACACTCCTTTAATGCAGCACTATCTACTAAAAATCAATTACAGGAGCTGGTGCTGTGGCATAACGGGTAAAGCCTCTGCCTGCACTGCTGGCATCCCACATGGGCACTGCTCCACTTCTGATCCAGCACTCTGCTATGGCCTGGGAAAGCAGTGGAAGATGGCCTAACTCCTTGGGCCCTTGCACCTGCATGGGAGACCCAGAAGAAGTTCCTGGATTCAGATCGGCACAACTCCAACCATTGTGGCCATTTGTGGAGTGAATAAGCAGATGGAAGACCCTCCACCACCACCCCGCCTCTTGTCTCTCGGTAACTCTGCTTTTCAAATAATGAATAAATAAATCTTTTTTAAAAAAAGACTGATTCCCAATGCTTGCTTAAGACAGAATCTCCAGCTTTTTGAAGACCGGCACTACAGAGAAGTTTCCTAACTACTTCATGTTAGCCTTCAATCTTTTTATCCTTGTCAAGGCCACTCAGAAATAACTCTACTTATTGGGTCTCTTAAGGAAAACAAACCAAATAAACAGTATATGAAAACTGTACATAATAAAGCATTGGCCAGAATTCCTAAAAGAGCCAACTGCTCCAAAATCTGCTGGGAATGACCCATCCTGGTGAGACCATCTCTCATTTGCATCTCACAACTATCAGAAACACTTAAGATGCCACTACTTGATCTTATAGTAGGAAAAGCTGTAACATACATCACAAAAATACAAAGTACTCTATTTTTCCTCCCTAAGTATTCCCCTTAGAATTATCGCTTCCGAACGCAGCTCCAACTGTGTCTCACCATGACACTCAGGTGACTATGAGGACCATATTCACACAGAGCAAGATGGCTCTAAAGTGTAAGTTGTGGGGCCAGTGCTGTGGAGCAGCAAGTTAAGCCACTGCCTGCAAGGCAGGCAAGCCAGTTTGAGTCCCAGCTCCTCCACTTCCAATCCAGCTCCTCTAATGGCATGCGAAAGCAGTGGAAGATCTCCACCCATGTAGACTGATCAGGATGAAGTTCCTGGTTCTGGCCTGGCCCAGCACTGCCTGTTGCGGCCACTTAGGGAGTGAACCTGCAGATGGAAGAGCTCTCTGCCTCTCCTTCTCTCTCACTCTGCCTTTCAAATAAATATCTAAATTAAAAAAAAAAAAAAAAAAAAGCTTAAGTTGCTTTTCTTGCCCCCTACTAGGATGAACCATCACCTCCCCTAAAAAAATGTAGGAACCAAGGAACTTAAAACTCTCTTTACAAAGAAATTTTTATTTACTCTCTAAGGCATTCTTTTTTTTTTTTTTTTTTAAGATTTATTTATTTATTTGAAAGTCAGAGTTACACAGAGAGAGGAGAGGCACAGAGAGAGAGAGAGGTCTCCCATCCGATGGTTCACTCCCCAGATGGTTGCAACGGCCGGAGCTCTGCCGATCCGAAGCCAGGAGCCAGCAGCTTCTTCCAGGTCTCCCACGTGGGTACAGGGGCCCAAGCACTTGGGCCATCTTCTACTGTTTCCCAGGCCATAGCAGAGAGCTGGACAGGAACCGGGCCCATATGGGATGCCGGTGCTTCAGGCCAGGGTGTTAACCCACTCTGCCACAGCACCAGCCCCTAAAGCATTCTTATTTAAAGAAAAACTGCTTAGTTTGGTGCCACTGAAGGAGCAGGTAGCATAACGTGACACTGTAATTTAAAATTTTTCCTTTACATATATATTCCTTCAACTCCAACAAACTATGTTAAATCTCAAAATCTACAGAAAAATACATGATAAATAAAAACTAATGATGGTCATGATCAAATTCGTTTTGATGAAGAATCTAGGTCTGTGTCCCACAAAGTAACCCAGGAGCTTTCGCCCTAGAAAAACTGGATTCCTCCCAGGCGTGCTTCATGATGCACACCTGCAGCTTCATTCCCACAGGTCAGAATGGGCACCCCCCCCATAAAGTACATTACGGATCTACTGTCAAAAATAGCTACAATTCAAATTCAAGGATATAGAATACATGTAAAGAGAAATTAAAGGCTAAATGGTGTTTAAATAAATGATCGGCATGTGTTGCTCTACAAGTAGACACCTACTCTTTGTTAGTGCCAGATCACCTGGCTCCAATTCCTTCCTGACTCTAGAACTTACCTTGAGCTGTACATGGAAGGGGTCTTGGGAAAATTATTCTTCTCTGTGCCTCAGTTTCCTCATCTGTAAAATGAGGCTAACAGTATTTACCTCTCACTAGTTGTTATTAAGACTAATATAAAATGCTTAGAACAAATTGTGGCACACAGCAAATACTGTAATTATTATTTATTATTATTACTGTTTGATGCTACTTCATCGGTGATAAATAAATCAAACAGGTGTAGTCTACATTCCTGTTTATGTCTACAATATACGCTACGCCTGATCTGCACATGTGCACATTCACACATGTGGTTAATCACCTTCTGTATCCCAGATGCTCATTTAATTACTGAGTTGTCACAATACATCAAAGGCTACATCACCACTTGCACTGTACAGATGAGAAAATGACAGACTGGATTTTCTATGTGCAAAATAAAAATTGGTAACAACACCATTTTTTGAAAGCAGTATGTGCACAAAGCAGGGCTGGGTCTCAAATGTAACTGGAGAAAAGCAAATTGTCATAAAAAAAAAGCAAAAGCTTTCATTTAACAATTTACAGTTTGTAAAAAAGCTTCATGACCACACTAGAGATTAACTAAAATGCTGCAAATCATACTAAAAAATATTACCGCCTACATCTGAAGTGCATTTACCTGGTTCCAATTTCAATACTCCTTTGGTTTCTGCACCCACAGCCAAATGGGCAAGATGCACATTTCGCAGTGGCTCAGATCTCCGGAGACGCTGCCTAGGAACTAGCACCATGGGAATCTGCTCAGCCTGGTTTCAGAAAGGCTGCCTCCCTGATCCAGGGAGATCCAATTCTAAAATGGCTTCACCATAACACAAGCACTGCATCATGGGAAATGTACACAAAATTACAGGGTAGGAGCCATACTCCAGGGGCTTACGGTCCATAAATATTTGCTACTGATGAATAAGGATATTCAGTGTGAAGCTAAGTGTGTGGGCTAGGCCAAATCACCTTTCTCATACAGACTTCATCTGTAAGATGGGTGACTGACTTATCTCATTGAAGGCAGATGGGAAAATAATCCAGCCATTGCTACTGGATTTGCAGCCACCCATTTTGAAGGCCAAGCTTAAAATTCCAACTTGGACCTGACAAAACTGACCAGTTTTTATACTCTCCATACTATGTGCTGTTAGAGACATGGGTCAGAAAAAATGAGGGCTCAGATATCTAAAATATCCCTGAGAAAGAAATGGCGTGCACTGGAAGCAATGAAGAAATTCACTACCGAGCAATATTTCTATACATACAAAATTCCAACAGGAAGATGCAGAAATCTCAGTGGCCACGTGTCCATTTCTACATCACTGTATATGGTGTGTGCCTCCATGTGGACCATTCAGACAAAGTAATCAGTGCAAGGAACCTTCAGCTTCCCAGCGCTCCATTTCTCCCTCGTGGCTCCTGTAGCCAGCCGATTTTCTATGTTCGCAACATCATCTTGCCAAATTCCAGCTCCCACACAGGGCAAGGAAAATCAGAGCCTGATGCCATCCAGCCTTTACCAAAGAGAACTGCAGCAAAGGCAAGGACAAGACGCCATGTATTTTTACAGAAAGGTTGGCAAACTGTCTTAGCCAATGCTGCCACCTTTGAAAACTCCATTACATGCGAGTTCTCCATTTGCAATAGGCAAAAATGGACTCAGCTTCTATAGAAAAGGAGTCGAGCGTTCTCATCCCTTCCCCCGGCTACCAGGGAAATTCGGGACTGAAAAACGTGCTCTCACACACAGTCAGGGGGAATCTGGGCCGAGGACACGAAACACTCGGGCGTTAAATGACGGCGCATGCCCTGGGAAAATATTCCCAACACCAGCTGGTGGCTTTTTTCCCCTGGAGATCCGGCCTGACTCAGACATCGGTCCCAACAAATGCATTTTCTTGCTTCAAACCTCCGACCTGATCTTCCCAGGGAATCTCGGGTCCTGCCGGGCTCCGTACCCAGCGGAGGATGATGAAATGGCTTTGCTGCAAAGTGGGTGGGGGTTTCCCCCCTGCTGTCTCCCAAGGTTAAACCCCTTACTCATCCAGGGGTAGCCAAGCAGGGGCACCGGGGCGCAAGAACTCGCCTGCGTTTGCTTAAATTTTAATTTTTGGAAGCCGGAAAGCCCCAGAGCCGCAGTGACAGGGCTGAAAAGGGTAGTTCTCGCCGACCGAGGCGCAGGGAGGGGTCGCGCCGGGGATAAAAGCCCAGCCAGGAGGGAGGGGCCGGGGCCAAGGCTCAGCCGTCCCCGACCCGCAGTACCGAGCCGCACCCTGCCCGCCTGGCAGGGCCGCCGGCGGCGCGGGAGGCCCGGGCTTCTGCAGGCGAAGGGCCCGGCCCCGGAAACAGGGAGGGGCCGCGGTGAGGTCGGGCCCGCGCCGCAGCCGGCAGCCAGGGCCGCGGCAGCCGCGCGCCGCCACCCCCGGGGGCTCACCCGCAGGGCCGACATCGCAGCCGCGGGCAGAGGGGGACCTGGAGCGTGGGCCCCTGGGGGCCCCGGGCGGGCCCGCGCCGCACTCACCGTGGGAGGGCTGCAGGGGGCAAAGAGGCTTCCGAGCGAAGCTCCGAGAGCGGCGACCGCTTCCTTCCCAAGCCTGCTCCTCAGGCAGCGGCGACGGCGGCTGCAGGGGCGGCAGCGGCAGCAGCTAACCAGGCTCCGGAATCGGCGGCGGCGGTGGCGGCAGCTCCACTTCCGCTCCGGCCACCGCTTCCGCTTGGCTCAAGCCCCGCCCCTCCCTGCGCCGTCTTCTCATTGGGCAAGTGAGGCACGGGGTTGCCCTGGCCGCCCGAGAGGGGCGCTGACGGCAGGGAGGAGGAAGAAGAGCCCAGTGCAGGGACGCAGCGGACCGGGGCGGGCGCAGGGCCGGGAGAGGTAGCAGGGAGGAGGCGGCCGAAGGGGAAGGAAGTGGGGCGGGGGGACGGGAAGAGGAGGCGGGAGGAGAGAGGGCGGAGATGGGGGTGGAGGTCCAGAGATGGGATGTGTGGGAACAGGGAGGACTCGGGTGGGGGAGCGCCCGCGCTGCTTAGGTTGGGGCCTGGGCAGGGCCAGGCACAGCGATTCCCAGGGTGCAGGTTCCCACGCCACCCCGGAAGTAGTCCTCCCGGGGGTCGGAGCCCCAGCGCACACACCCTTTGGCTGCGTGCTGTGCGAATAACTGGACCTCGGAAGACATAGAAATTGCTCGTCCCCCCGTTTTCGGTTAATCCGCCTTTCTGTACTTAAGGGACTATCTCCTGCCCTCATAGCCTGAAGAGGCCACGTGAAGGTCTTCTGAAAAAACCCTGTGCACATGGTTTCTTCATTGAGGAAGCTGCAGGGAGGCGCACGGGGCCGCGTGGCCCCTCACCCTCTCTGGCCTCTCACCTGTTCATGCTGACAGATGCGGAGCGGGTTTTCCGCTTAGTGCTGGAGAGACAGCAATACACAGGAGAGAGGGGGCCCTGCTCCCCTGGGAGTCTGGCGGCAGAAGAAAAAAGTACCTGGGTCGCGTTGCTGTCATCTCTCCCTTACCCTTATTTAGTTAATGATAGAGATCTAATTCGCCACACCATGCCCAGCCCCGCCTCTATCAGCTGCCGACTGATCTAAAAATGCAGGTGTAGCAGTTACGGTGGGGGGCACCCAGATTCCAGCTTCCTGCTAAGGCCCACCCTGGGAGACGGCAGGTGATGGCTCCAGCAGTTGGATGCCTGCCATTCGCCTGGGAGACATGGTTTGAGTTCCTATTCCTGGCTTCTGCCTGGGCTGGTCTGGCCATTTGGGGAGTGAACCAGTAAATGCGAGTGCTCTTTCTCAAGTATATTTTTAAAAAATGTTTAATGCCATTCTAATCATGTTCTGTCCCTACTTAAATCCTTTGCTGATCACTCAGACCTTGAAAAGTATCAATTGTAAGTTCCTTGAGTGTTACAATCAAGGTTTTCCAGAAGCTCCCCTTACCCATACATAACCCAACATAAATACCCTAACTCCGTTGGATGACTCCTTACCCCCCAGCGGGACTATTTCTAAACAGTTTGAGTTGGCAGTGTTTTCGAAAGCAGAGATTTCCGTGCATCTCTGCCTTCTCTGGCAACACTTGGCCGAAGCCCGGGAGTGGCTGCCTTACTCTAGACTGGGCACGGACTTCCCAAAGTGCCAGGGTGCCCTGCAAATCTGAGTCTGCCACCCAAATATGCCTTCCTCAGTTACGGTAACCGCTGCATAGGCCTTTGTGCCTGCAACGCCTGGGTTATCCCACACGGCCTGAACCACTTACCGGCTTTTAACTTTGACGAAGTTGGGAACCTGGTATAGAATGTAAACAGCGTGGACTTGAATCAGAACCACTGGGTTTGAATCCCAGAGAGAGTTGCCAGTGCAAAAACTTGCCTGTGGGGATCTTTGCACACCAAAGGCCAGTGATCCAGAGACTGCTCAGGAGCAGTAAGCTGTAACGTGACGTGACTGTGTCTTATGCTCCCACCCGGAACACAGCCTACTGAGTCAGAGGGTTCATAGTGATTCCACCACAGGTTACATCATCGGCAGCACAGAAGTGCCCTTTGTCAGGCATCCCTGGGTGCCTGCTAACGGATTGCATAGCTAGCTCCTTTTGCCACCTCTGCATTCTAGAACAGAGGTCAGTGAGCTATGGCTATTAACTGGCAGTCATACAAAGAGGTATAAAACAGGATGTGGAATACGCAACCATATATGCGCAGGGTCCTGCACAAGCTTGGGAGAAGGGCCCCTAACCCATCTTGGGGGTGTGGCAGAAGAGCAGGCAAGACTTCCTGGGAGAGATGATGCTTGAGCTTTCGATTCTGCAATGCATTTTCTAAAATTAATAGGCTTTTTAGAGTATTAAGTTTGCAGAAAAATTGACCAGAGAATTTTAATATTTCCCTCTCCCCCCAACACCAACCACCCCCCACAAACACCCAGGCTCACAGTTTCCCTTATCATTCGGATAAGGATTCCCTTATCATTAGGATATTGTATTAGTGTAGTGTATTTGCTAGAATAGATATGCCAATATTAATACATTATGTTTAAAGTCCATTTACAGTAGAGTTCATGTTTTGTATTGTACACAGTTCTGTGGGTTTTGACAATGCACAATGTGATGTAGCTATCATTAAAGTATACAGAAGAGTTTGCTACCCTAAGAATCCCCTGGTCCTGGGGGCTGGCGCTGTGGCGCAGTGAATTAACGCCCTGGCCTGAAGCAAGTCCCAGCTGCTCCACTTTTGATCCAGCTCTCTGCTATGGCCTGGGAAAGCAGTAGAGGATGGCCCAAGTCCTTGAGACCCTGCACCTGCGTGGGAGACCTGGAAGCAGCTCCTGGCTCCTGGCTTTGGATCAGCACAGCTCTGGCTGTTGTAGCCATTTGGGGAGTGAACCATCGGATGGAAGACTTTCTCTCTCTGCCTTTCCTCTCTCTGTGTAACTCTGACTTTCAAATAAATAAATAAATCTTAAAAAAAAAAAAAAAAAAGGAATCTCCCTTTCTCTCTCTCCCACTGTCTAACTCTGCCTGTCAAAAAAAAAAAAAAAATCTCCTGGTCTTCCAGGAACTTCCTAGCTTACCCCCAAACCTTTGGCAGCTGCTGGCCTTTTTTTTTTTTTTAAGATTTATTTTATTTATTTGAATGACAGAGTTACAGAGAGAGAGGTCTTCCACCTGCTAGTTCACTCCCCAGATGGCTGCAATGGCTGGAGCTGCATCAATCCAAAGCCAGGAGCCAGGAGCTTCTTCCGGGTTTCCCACGTGGGTGCAGGGGCCCAAGAACTTGGGCCATCTTCTGCTTTCCCAGGCCATAGCAGTGAGCTGGATTGGAAGTGGAGCAGCTGGGACTAGAACCGGTGCCCATATGGGATGCCAGCGCTTCAGGCCAGGGCTTTAATCCGCTGCGCCACAGCGCTGGCCCTAGCCACTGACCTTTTACACTCTGTAATTTTGCCTTTTCCAGAATGTCATTAGAGTTGGATCATATAGTATGTAGCCTTTTCCTGCGGAATTCTTTCACTAAGCAATATGATTTGAAGTTTCTTTGTGTCTCTCACTGAGTAATATCTTATTGTATGAATGTACTAGCTTGTTAATTTATTCCTAAGAATCAACTATGTCTTCCAAAAAGATAGATTGAAATCTTATTCCTTATATGTCTGTGAATGTGACTTTATTTGGACAAAGTCTTTGCAGACGTGATCAAGTTAAGCTGAGGCTACTGGAGTGGGCCCTAATCTAACATGATAGGTATCCCCACAGAAGAAAATGGCACATGCTGACAGAGACACGTGGAGAATGCCACATGACAGCAGAGGCAGAGACCAGGGTGATGAAGCCATAAACCAGTGACCACCAGGGATCCACAGCCACCACCAGAAACCAGGATTCTCTCCAGAGTTGCAGCTGACATACTGAATCCAGACATCTAACTTCCAGAATTGTAAGAGAAGAAATGTCTGTGGGTATTTTTTAAAGCTTTTTATTTAGTGTATTTTTTAAAAAAATTTATTTATTTATTTTTAAAGATTTATTTTATTTATTTGAAAGACAATGTTACAGAGAGAGGTAGAGCCAGAGAGAGAAAGAGAGAGAGAGAGGTCTTCCATCCACTGGTTCACTCCCTAAATGGCTGCAATGGCCTGAGCTGAGCTGATCTGAAACCAGGAGTGAGCCAGGAGCTTCTTCTGGGTCTGCCATGTGGGTACAGGGGCCCAAGCACTTGGGCTATCCTCCACTGCTTTCTCAGGTCATAGCAAAGAGCTGGATCAGAAGTGGAGCAGCCCGAACTTGAACCACACCCATATGGGATGCCAGCTCTGTAGGCCGGGGCTTTAAGCCGCTGCACCACAGTGCCAACCCCTGTTTGGTGTATTTTAAAAGACTTTATTGAGTGTATTTTATTTTATTCTAAGATTTATTTTATTTATCTGAAAGGCAGAGTGACATCGAGGGAGACACAGAAAGAGAGATCTGTACCCTGGCTCACTCCCCAAATGACCACAACAGCCAGGCTAGGCTAGGCCAAACCCAGGAGCCTGGAATTTGATCTGGGTCTCCCACACAGGTGGCAGGGGCCCAGGTGCTTAGGTCATCTTCTACTGCCTGCTCAGGTAAATTAGCCAGGGTCTGGATTAGAAGTGGAACAGCTGGGAATCAAACCTGCACTCTGATATGGAATGCTACATTTCATAACCCACTGCACCACAGTGCCAGCCCCTGATTTTCCATAAAATTTTAGAATCAGTTTGTCCGCATCCACAAAATAACTTGTTGGGATCTTTATTGGGATAGTGGTAAACTTATAGATCAAATTGGGAAGAACTGGTAACAATATGAGTCTTTCTACCCACACCATGGACAATCTCTCCATTTATTTAGATTTTCTTTAACTTCTTTCGTTAGTTTTGTAGCTTTCCTCACATAGATCCTGTGCATATTTTGTTAGATTTATACCTATTTATATGCTAATACAAATGGTATTGTGTTTTAAACTTCAGATTCAACATGTTTATTGCTGGCATATAGGAAAGTAATTGATTGTATATTAACCAAGCATCTTGCAACCTTGCCTTAATCACTTATTAGTTCCAGGGGGTTTTGGCAGTTCTTTGGATTTTTTTATATACACAATGATATCTTCTATGGGCAAAGGGGGTTTTACTTCTTCCTTCTCAATCTACCTGTTCCTTTCTTTTCTTATTACACTAGCTAGGACTTACAATAAGATGTTAAAAGATGTTAAATAGAGCCGGCGCCGTGGCTCAATAGGCTAATCCTCCACCTTGCGGCGCCGGCACACCGGGTTCTAGTCCCGGTTAGGGCGCCGGATTCTGTCCCGGTCGCCCCTCTTCCAGGCCAGCTCTCTGCTATGGCCAGGGAGTGCAGTGGAGGATGGCCCAGGTGCTTGGGCCCTGCACCCCATGGGAGACCAGGAAAAGCACCTGGCTCCTGGCTCCTGCCAGGATCAGCGCGGTGCGCCGGCTGCAGCGGCGGCCATTGGAGGGTGAACCAACGGCAAAAGGAAGACCTTTCTCTCTCTGTCTCTCTCTCTCACTGTCCACTCTGCCTGTAAAAAAAAAAAAAAAAAAAAAGATGTTAAATAGGAGTGGTGAGAGGGGACATCCTTGCCTTGTCCTCGTTTCTCACTATTAAGTATGGTACTTGTTGTAGGGTTTTTGTAGATACTCTTTATCAAGTTTAGGAAATTCTCTGTCCATTCCTAGTTTTTCTTTTTTTTAAATAGAGGAACAATATTAAAGGTTGATTTATTTGAAGGGCAGAAATATGTATATATATAGAGAGAGACAGAGAGATCTCCCATCCATCTGCTTTTTCACTTCCCACATAGCCACAATGGCCGGAGCTGGGCTGATCAGAAGTCAGGAGCCAGAGCTTCCTCTGGATCTCCTATGTGGGTGCAGGAGCCCAAGCACTTGGATCATCATCTGCTGCCTTCTCAGGCCATTAGAGGGAGCTGGATTGGAAGTGGAACAGCCAGGACTTGAACTGGCACACATGCACTGTCCCACATTTCTAGTTTTCTGAGGATTTTTAAAATAAATCAGTGTTGGATTTTGTCATTCTTTTTCTGCATTTGTTGACTTGATCACATGATTTTTTTTTTCTTTACCCTGTCACATTAATTGATTTTCAAATGTTGAGCCAGTTTAGTATGGCATAAATCCCACTTGGTTATGATCTATAATGCATTTTACACATTGTTGGATTTGATTTGGGAATAATATGTTGAGAGTTTTTACATTTATATTCATGAGAGGAGCTGGTCGGTAGTTTTCATTCTTGTAATGTCTGCGTGTGGTTTTGGTTATAGGATAACGCTGGCCTCTTGAAAGCATTCGCTCTGCCTCTGCCTTCTGGTCGAGACTGTGCTAATCGGTATCACTCACTGCAAAGTGAAGTCACAAGTGAAATCATCTTGATGTCTCATTTTCTTTCTTGAAAGTTTAGTAATTGTTATTTCAATTTCTTCTTTTTCTTCTGTTTTTAAAATAGTTATTTATTTGAAAGTCAGGGTTATATATAGAGAGAGTAACAGAGAGAGAGAGAGACAGACAGACAGACAGATAGATCTTCCATCTGCTGGTTCACTTCTCAAATGGCTGCCTCAGCCAGGCTGGGCCAGGCATAGCCAGGGGCCCAGAACTCCATCTGGGTCTCCCATGTGGGTGTTAGGGACCTAACCACTCTATCATTTGCTGCCTCCTGGGTGTACATTAGCAGAAAGTGGATCAGAAGCAAAGGAGTCAGGACTTGAACCAGGCACTGAGATACGGGATAAAGTTGCCCCTAGCAGCAACTTAACCATGGCACCGAATGCCCACCCCAAATCACTACTTTGAAACTGGAGCCCTGTTGGTGTCATGATGAAGGTTGGTGTGGGCAAGTCTTCTATAGCTTCATGATTTAATCTCCATTTTTTGTTTGTTTTCTAAGTGGGCCAGAGTCCTTGAGTTGTAATCTTCGAAAGAATTTCATAGCCTATTTTTTCCTTCCCTATGTGAGACAGGGAAGTTAACGGAGGCTGTAATTGTCCAGTTGTCCCTCCCCTATCTCAGATAAGGTTCTGGTAATGTAGCTTCCTTAGAGAACAGAGCACAGCGTGCTCTGGGCTTATTTCCAAAGGGTTCCTTTTCCCCTCCTCTTGTCCGAAGTGGGACACTAAGTGGGACTCCTGGAGGTAAAACTCACGAAAGTGCGAGCTGTTCCCTTCCCCGAGAACTGGCCCTGGAATTAAACTCTCAGGGTGGTCCCCATCCACCCTCCAGAACTGCTGATTGTGGCTGGCGCTCTGCACCTGGGCTCTGCCTCCCTGGGGACGGCGGCACTGTGAGAGAGTTCCTGCGAATTCTGTCCCCAGCCGCTTGGCCCCGGTAAGCTGTGATCAGGTGTATGTATTCTCCTGTCTCTCATTTTCAAGGCTGCAGCTTCCCCAGTGAGCTCAACTCTATAAAGAATCCAGGAAGAGTTGATGATTTTCCAGATTGCCCAGATTTTTTTCCTGTCCTGAGGATGAAGTGATGACTTCCAAGCTGTTCAGATGTAAGAGCAGAAGCTGGAAGTCACCCTGCAGTGAGATGTCCATCAGTCTACGACAGAATAAAGAGCCAGTGCCAACAGGTTATAGGAAGCTAACCACCGGGTTTTCACTCAATAGATGCTTGACTCACCGCTGGGCTGGAAGTCCCTTGAAAGTAGAGATGCTTTTAGTGCTTACTTACCAAATGAATGAAATCTAGGAAGGAAACGTCTGCCCTTCTAGAAAACTGCTAGCTGTAAGTATCATCCCCAAGATTCCAGCGCTGTCCCTGCAGCCGGTGAGGACGACGATCTGTGATGTCTTGGGAATTTCAGGGGAAGTCTGAATGGGGCTCACTGCAAGTCAGGCTCCAGCTGAAGGACCGACGCAGCCTGCTGCTTTTGCCAACAACAAGCCCCAAGCCCGTGAGGCCAAGCTGGCTCAGAAGTTATTGTCGTTATGTACAGCAGGCCAGGTGATTACTTGGAATCAATAATAATTATTACTTTTAACAAATTACTGGGGCAGGTGGTTGGCAGAAGAGTTGAGATGCCGCTGTCCCATGTTCTGATCCCAGTTCCGGCTCCCAGTAACACCTCCTTGGCAATGCAGACCCTGAGAGGCAGAAGGTGACGATGACCCTGCCACCCACTTGGGAAACCTGGATGCAGTTCCTGACTCCTGGCTTCAGCCCAGCCCAGTCCTGGCCACTTCAGACATCCGAGCAGTGACCCAGAAGACGGAAGTGCTTTCTCTCTTTCTCTCTCTTCTCAATCTGCCTTTTGAATACACAAATCACCATATTTCAAAGATTCCAAGATGTGCATATGCTCATAACATCTCTGAAATCATAATGTGTTTTTACCATTAATGGCAAGCCATGGTTTGAGTGGGAGCATCCTCTCTCCAACCCACATCTTTAGGACAACATCTTTTAAAGTAACATCTTCTAAAATCAAGGACATCTTAGAATAATGAAATATAGTAAATTCTTGTTTTTATCAAGATAACACACATACATGGTTTCGGAAGCCAGGCAACTTTGTTTTTAATATGGGAAAAAGGCATCCTCTATCCTGTCATCCGTTTGAAAACTTCTCCCTAGGGACCATTATTTTCAGTTCATTTAGCTGTTACTTCTGCTGTTTGCTTCCATATTTCTAAATAACATGACTAAACAACTACTTTTTGAAAAAGGTCCTTCTCAGTTTTGAAGAAGTTTTTATTGACTTCCTCCTATGGACTAGGAAGTTTCTCTCTCCCAAGATTCACCTTTTACACGCATATCCCACATTATTTTCTCCAATTGTTTACACATTACTTGTTCCCCAGCACTATAAATTGCTTTTAAAATAGATTTCATTCTTATCAAGGCTAAATCAGCCCATGGTTGGTAGAGGAAGATAGTTCCATAAGGCTAGTTGTATGTGTGTTTGAAGTCCCTCCCCATATCCTAGTTTGAGCAACCACCTCCTAATTATCACAGAATTACAAGCTTAATTTGCAATTCTCTGCTTCTCTTACTGTTTTTTTAAAAAGATTTATTTATCTATTTGAAAGGCAGAATTACAGAGAGGCAGAGAGAGAGGTCTTCCATCCACTGGTTCACTCCCCAGATGACTGCACCCATCTGAAGCCAGGAGCCAGGAGCTTCTGCCAGGACTCCCACACAGGTGCAGGGGCCCAAAGACTTGCTTTCCCAGGCCATAGCAGAGAGCTGGATTGGAAGTAGAGCAGCCAGGACTCAAACCGGCGCCCATATGGGATGCTGGCACTGCAGGTGGTGGCTTTACCCGCTACACCACAGCGCCAGTCCCTGTTTTCTTACTTTTGAGAATACCTATTGAGTAGCATACAAGGGAAAGAAAGACCAAATCTCTTTCCAAAGCACCCACACAGCATCTCCTCCAAATCCCCTGGGGGAAATACCCACTTTCTGCTTTCTGTCCCCTCCCACATGCATCCTTTCAAAATGATTATAATTTTAGTGGGATCAATATTGTTTTTAATGATCAAAGACTTACGGTCCAGAGTATTTATTTATTTATCAAAGAAACTATTCCTTAGTCCACATATTTGATGTTTCATAGTTCAGGGACATAGATCAGTGACAAACTTCTAGAGAATTCAAACCAAAGAAATTCTTGACATACTACATCACTTTGCACTCCTCAAAATCTTCCGTGGAATCATAATTTCTGCGAGAATCTGCAGATGCTTTCTTTCTTGGTTCAGCCACAGCAGACTTCTAGGCAGCTGCAGCACTCAAGGATTTGGCAAAGACTCCAACACAGTGAACCCACAGACGTCTGGCCAGAGGGGCCCGCATCTGAGGCTTTGCCAACGCACTGCTTGCCGTGGTGGTTGTTATCCTCAACACCAGTGTCCTTCCTGGTTGCTGGAGAAATGGTGGGATCAATATTTAATGTGTGTATACTTTGTCACCATGTATTCCATGGTGGCTTTTTCCTTTACTGGGCATCTTTTATGTTTCCTAGGATTAATGAAATTTTTGTTGCTTCCTTCAGTTTCCTATATTCTCACTACCAATTACCCTATACTGTATTAGTTTATTATTGTTACTGTAACAACAAGTTACTGAAAATTGGGTGGCTTAGACCATTTATGACCTTATAGTTCTGTAGGTAAGAAAAATAAGTACATGGGGCAGGCAGTTGGCCTAGTGATTAAGACACTGCTTGGAATGCTTGTATCCCACATCAGAGTGCCTGGGTTTGAGTCCTGTCTCTGCTTCCAGTTCCAGCTTCCCATTAATGCATGCTCTGGGAGGCAGCTGGTGATGTATCCCTGCCACCTACAAGAGTCCTGGATTGGGGCCAGTGCTGTGGCATAGTGGGTAAAGCTGCCACCTGCAGTGCTGGCATCCCATATAGGTGCTGGTTCGAGTCTCGGGTCCTCCACTTCCAATCTAGCTCTCTGTTATGGCCTGGGAAAGCAGTGGAAGATGGCCCAAGTCCTTGGGTCCCTGCACCCATGTAGAGGACCTGGAGGAACCTCCTGACTTTTGGCTTCAGATCAGAGCAGCTCTGGCCACTGGGGCTGGCTGGGAAGTGAACCAACAGATGGAAGACATCTCTCTCGCTCTCTCTCTGCCTCTCCTTTTCTCTCTGTATAATTCTGACTTTTGAATAAATAAATAAATCTTTTTTTAAAAAAAGTCTTAGATTGAGTTCCATGTTCTCCTGGCTTCAGCCTGACCTAGCCCTGGCTATTACAGGCATTTGGGGGAATGAAACAAATAATGGGATATTGATATTCTCTCTCTCTCTCTCTTTCTCTTTCTCTTTCTTTCTTCCTCCCTCTCTCCTTTCCTCCTTCCCTCCCTCCCTCCCCCATCCCTCCATCCCCCCTTCAGATAAATAGTAAGTAAATTAAAAATTGAAAAAATGGAAAGACTGAGTACAGAGTGAGTCAACTGGGATCCTTTGCTTAGAGTCTCACGAGGCTTAAACCAAGGTGTCAGCTGGGCCACATTGCTTTCTGGAATTCCTGGAGCTGAATCCACCTCCAAGCTACTAGAGCTGTAGCCTGAACTCTGTTTCTTTCATTATTTTTTAAAAAATTTATTTATTATTTATTTGAAATGTAGAGGCAGCTATACAGAGAGAGGGAGAGGTCTCCTACTTGCTGGTTCAGTCCCCAAATGGCGGCAACAGCCTAGGCTGGGGCAGGCTGAAACCAAGGGCAGAACTTAGTCCAGGTCTCCCACATGGATGGCAGGCACCCAGGTACTTGAGCCATCATCTGCTGCCTTCCAGAATATACATTAGCAGGAAGTTGGAATGAGAGGTGGAAGTGGGGCTTGAATTGTGGCATTCCAATATGGGATGCAGGTGCCCCAAGTGCTGTCTTAACTGCTGAGCCAATTCTGGTTCTTACAGCCTTTCCCATGCTGCTTGTACTTTATAGAGAAAAAATCTGGCACTTTGAGTTTTGCTCATGGGTGGGCATTTGGCATAGTGATTAAGCTGTTGCTTGGGATGCCCACAGCCCATATCAGAGTCACTGGGTTTGAGTCCTGATTCTGCATCCAACCCAGCTTCCTGCTAATGCACACTCTGAGAGACAGCAGGTAAAGGCTTGAGGACTTGGATCCCTGCCACCCACCTGGGAGACCTCGACCAAGTTCTGGGCTCCTGGCTTTGATGTGGCCTGGCCTAGCCCTGGCTGTTGCAGGCATTTGGAGGAGTGAACCAGTAAATGTAGGAGCCCTCACTCTGTGTACCTTACAACTAACTAACTAACTAAATAACAAAGATAAGAGGGTTGATGTTTGGGGTGAACGAGAAGTTAAAGTTGCACGGTAATCCATGACATGTCAGTTCACGTGAGATCGTTGATGTTCAGCCCATCCAATGTTGGCTTTTCATTTTAGTGGGAAAAGGGCTGAGCCCCTGACTCAGAGAGATCTGTGGCTGTGGTTAGAAGCAGAGCTCCTGCGTCCCTGTGATGAGGACCAGTTCACCTCTCCACGAGGACAAATAACTGAGGGAAAAAGAAAAACAAACAAAACAGAGCTCCTACAGCTCTTGCTAACCTCACCTGAGAAGGGCAGGCTGTGTCCAGGAGATCAGAATTCTAGACTCGCTGAATTCAGTCCTGGTCATACAATCACCTTGATTCTCACAGAACTAAGGTCCTTGGAAAGGTCGGCATCATCAGTGTGGGGGAAGGAAGAGATTCCGAATCTGCATTTCCATTTCATGATAGCTGAACCAGAAATAAGTTTCACAGTGTGGCTAGGCTCTGCCGATTTCTACCTGCAGAGAAAGTGGCAAGACACTGTCATGCGCCAGTACCTCCTCTTGCTTCGTAAAGTTCACAGAGCTCTCCGCCTCCAGTCTCCTCCTTTGGAGTGCCACCTGGGCAAAGAGAACCATTAATTTATTGGGTGTTTGTGTGCGTATTTTGAGAATGATATTTTTTAGCATTTAATTTTAAATAAGAAAGCACCTGCTGTATTCATTTTAAATAATGTATTTTTACTACATAGTGATGTAGGAATATATTTTCAGTGTAAGAAAATGAAAATATTAAGGATAAAAGGTGATCACCAACCCCCAGCGCCGCTTCCCCTCCACGGGAGTAACTGCCGTTGCCGAACAGCGTGCACCAGTTAGTCATGGCAGGTCAGGTTCTGCTGCAGTGACAAACATCCTCAGAACCCCAGCGTCTTACAATCACAAAAGCGTCTGGTTTGATCATCTCACGTTTTTGTCCTAGGGCAGCTTCCGTGATGTCAGGACACAGCTTGAAAGAGCAGCTGGGATGTACTGATCTCAGGGCAGAGGGAAAAGAACAGTGGAGCCTCTCAAAGCCTCTGTTGGGGGGTCTCCCACGTCTCTCTGTCTCACACTCGCCTGGGCAAAGCAAGCCGTACAGCCGCGTGTGACTTCAGAGGGGTGGAGGTGGGGTATTGTGCCTCCACAGGGAGCGGCCGTGAAGTTTCCCATACTTCTATGGAATACGTAAAGCTATAGAAAGAGATATCACTTCTGCATAATTTATTATGGCTCTGAATCTTACTTTCTTCATGCAAAAAAATGTGCCTTAGAGGTCTTCCCACGTTATACAAATAAATCCGTTTGAGTTTTAAGCCATGGCAGAGCATGCCGTAAAATGGGAAGTACTATCATTTATTTAGCTCTTTCTCTAGTTGAAGACATTTAAGTCATTTCCAGTTTGGTATTATTGCAGACAAGGGTGTAGCAAATATCCTCATACTTGCCCTTTGTGCTTATGTGCAGCCGATTCTCTGGGGTGGGTACGGAGAAGTGGAATAGCTGGAGAGAAGCTCTCCAGAGGAACCCTGCCAATACTGCGCAAGGGCAGAGCACTGTTAGAATCTGGAGGAGAAGTCACGGGTCCGGGCAGGAGGACGCGTGAAGTCAGCCTTGCAGGGAGGGAAAAGAGGGAGTAAATGCCTTGAGCCTCTTCCCTGTGTCTCCTACTGGGCTGACCCCAACCAGACGACGGAAGGACCCTGTCCTGTCTGCCTCCCGGAGTGCAGAGGAGGCGGGAAAGCGCAGAGAACAAACCTGGAGGAGCAAATAGCAGCCACCCAGCCACCCTCCCCCACCCAGCACAAGGAAGGACTGAACTGTTTGACGTTGTACTTGACTGTCTTTCCAGTTTGCACGACCCTAATGGCTAGCGGAGCTGCACATCTTTCCATGTACTTCTATGCACTTTGTATCTCCTCTCCCCTACCTAGATGTCGCCTCCCTGTTTTCTGAGTTGACTCTCTCTTGATGAACTGGATAGAAATCTTTTGTAAATCTTACCCCACAGTGTGTCACTTGTCTTTGCTTTGCCAAAAGGCTCTTGAAGTGTTGAGGCAATAATTTAATCAGTCTTTGCCTGGATGGCTTTTGTCTTATGTCTTGTTTAAGGAAAGCTTTCCACTCCACATGATCAGTGTATCCTGCTTGTTTTTTTTTTTTTCTGATAGTTTTATGACTTTTATAGTTAGTTCTTTCATCCACCTGGGATTTATATTTGAAAATGGTATGGGGTATGAGCAAATTAGCTTGTTTTCCCAAATGGATATCCAGTTGTCACAGGAGCATTTCTGGAATAATTAATCATTTCCCCATTATTTGAAATAACATTTCAGTGTATCTTTATAAATTCATTGCTGGATTCTTTTCTCACTGATTGGTTTGTAAATTCTAGTGCCAGAGCTATTCTGTTTCTTTCTTTTTTTAAAGATTTATTTATTTATTTGAAATTCAGAATTACACAGAGAGAGGAGAGGCAGAGGGGGCGGGAGAAGGGAGAGAGAGAGAGAGAGGTCTTCCATCTAATGGTTCACTCCCCAATTGGCCACAATGGCAGGAGCTGTGCTGATCTGAAGCCAGGAGCCAGGAACTTCTTCCGGTCTCCCATGCGGGTACAAGGGCCCAAGGACTTGGGACATCTTCTACTGCTTTCCCAGGCCATAGCAAAGACCTAGATTGGAAGTGGAGCAGCCAGGTCTCGAAACAGCGCCCATATGGGATGCCAGTGCTTCAGGCCAGGGCGTTAACCCTCTGCGCCACAGTGCTGGCCCCACTATTCTGTTTTAATTACTGAAAATCTACTCCGTGCTTTAATATCTGGTAAGGCAAGTTGTTCCTCTATTTTTTTCAATAGTATCCTTTGCTATACTTGCATAACTATTCTTCCATGTGAATTTTAATTTTAATTCCCAAGCATTTGGGCCATCTTCATTGCCTTCACAGGTGCATTAGCAGGGAGCCGCACTGGAAGCAGAGCAGCCAGAACTCAGACCAGCACTCATATGGGATTCCAGCTTCGCAGGTGGCAGCTTGACCTGCTGGTCTTAGCGGCAGGCATCCTAACCAGTGTCTTAATCACCAGGCTGAACGCCTCCCTTTGTGAATTTTAGAATCAGCTGATCAACTCCTTTGAACAATTCTTGTGGCATTTTATTGGACTTCCATTGAATTTATGTGTCTGCATTAGGAGAATTTCTTTCTTTCTTTTCTTTCTTTCTTTCTTTTTCTTTTTCTTTTTTTTTAGGAGAATTGATTCCTTTTGGGTATTGTGTCTTTCCCATCCAGGAAGGTGATATATACCTCTATTTGTCTCACAGTAGAGTTACAACTTTCTTTATAAAGGTCTGGCACATTTTTCATAGATTAGTCCCTGGGTATTTTAGCATTTTTGTTGCTGTTTTAAGTGGTAGATTTTGTTCCGTGTCTTTTATAACTTGATTATTGTATATTTGTCTAAATAGTTCAATTCTATCATGAGTTCAGTGGTGACTGCTTGCCTTGCATGGGTTTGAAGATTTGTGTTGCATGCTCCTGATCTCTCTCCCCACCATGTGAGGACACACAAGCCGGGAGGAGAGCCCTCATCAGAACTGACCGGCCTGGCACCCTGCTCTCGCACTTCCAGCCTTCAGAACTGTAAGCGAATAAACTCCTGTTGTTTAAGCCCCTTCGATTCTTAAAATATTTTCAGAATGTGGATTCAGCCCTTCCTTGCTGGATTTTGTCTCTTTTGCCTTACCAAGATAGTTTTATAAACCAAAACAAGGGGCAGGCATTTGTGCAGTCATTAAGACGGTGTTGCTTCCTGCTAACACACATCCGAGGAGGCAGGGTATAGTAGCTCGAATACTGGGGTCCCTGCCACCCACATGGGAGGGGACCCCTGGGAAAAGGTGGAAGTCCTGGATGCAGCTCTGCTGTCTCTTAGGGAAGGTTCTAGAATCTGCATGTGATTATTTATTGGACAGAATTCAGTTACATGGCTGTACGTGACTATAAGTCTGGCGTTTATTCTGGGAGTGCCATGTGCTTAGCTACAACATAGATGATCTATTACATGTCATTCAAAGTCCAGGACTGGACAGATACCCTTCTCTGGCAGTTGAGTTCATCTGACTTCATAGGAGGAAGGTTCTTGCCCTCTGATTTCCATGACGTCTGGTTCTCCTTCAAGGGTGCTCTTCCTTGACCAGTACCTTCATGGCCATATGCTGTGGACATTTGAATGTCACGTCTCTGGGGCTGTGTAGGTGTTGTATCCCTGTTTCTTGATGGTTTAGGGACTCTGACATTTTTTGTTGCTTTGTGGAAGAAACGGAAATATTTATTAAGGCTGCTTAGTCTGCCCCAGATACTAAGAAAAATGCTTGGTCCATTTTTTCTCTATAAACGTAGAAGGAGAATAAGTTCTAAAGACCCTTCTTAAGGGAAGAATCATACATAGTGAAAATTAAGATTTTTATTTTATTTGAAAAGCAGAATTACAGAGAGAGAGAGAGAGTGCGCGCAAGCGCGATCTTCCATCCATCTCCCAATGGCTGCTACACGTCCAGGCTGAGCCAGGTGGAAGCCAGGAACTCCATCCAGGTCTCCAACATGAGTGGCAGGGGCCCAGGCACTTGGGCCATCTCCCCCACTTTCCCAGGCCCATCAGCAAGGAGCTAAATGGGGCATGGAGCAGTCAGGACTTGAGCTGGTACTCATATGAGATGCCAGTGTCATAGATGGTAGCTTAGCCCACTGTGCCATAATGCCAGCCCCTGGCCACCCTAAATTTTAGTGGCATTAAGTAGCAGTCATTTATTCTCAGCTCACTGACCCAAGTTCACACTCTGTACTCTGTCTCCAATGACTGTTTGATCGGGGATCTCAAGGCCAGGTTCCTTGCCATTCTAGCTCCATGGCATCAGTTGAGGCCTCTGTTGGAGCTGCACTGTAGTTTGACTTTTCTCTTTCACAGATATGATTGACAGAACTTGGCAATGAACTTCCTGCATGCAAGTCCCCATCTCGGGAGTTTGATTCCTGGGAAACCCAGCCCACAACAGGCTCTGAAGTCAAACAGAACTGGGTTTGAGTCTCGCTCCAAACACTGACTAGGTATGCAACCTCAGATACTGCCAGTCTCTGTTTTCAGTATCCAGTGATGCAACAGTCATAGTGTCTGCCCCTCGCAGTTACTGTGAGGATGAGGAGAAATAATGCAAGGGTGCCTGAGAAGGTTCAGGGAAAATAGAATTAAAGATAAGTTTATTTTCATATAAAAATGTTTTGAAATCCATGTACAAGAAGAGTCTGCCTGACACCTGCATATTCTGAAAAACTATGCATGGATTTCAAAATCTTTTGCAACAAAATAACTTTTAATTCTATTTTTCTATTAATTTTTGCAGTACCCTCACACATACAAAGCATTCAGCTCAGATTTACATACTAGGAATGTTCAAAATAGGTGTTCAAAATAGGAGCTAATGGGTTAGTAGTAGTGTTTTATTCAAAATAATTTTTAAAAAAAAGTCATATTATCTGTTTGAGAGGAGAAAGACAGAGCTCCTTCATCCACTGGTTCATTCCCCAAATGCCTGCAGCAGTCAGGGCTGGCCCAGGCCAGAGCCAGGAGCTCAGAACTCAACCCACGTCTCCAGAGAGGAGGCAGCGACTCAGCTACTTGAGCCGTGATCTGCGGCCTCCCGTGGTGCGCGTTAGCAGAAAGCTGGAATCTGGAGCAGAGTCAGGACAGGAACCCGGGAGCTTGGATAGAAGATCTGGTCTCCCGCATGGGTGGCAGGGCCCCTAGCACTAGGTAAGGGGATTCCACTGCTTTCCAGGCACGTTAACAGAAAGCTGGATCAGAAGCAGAGCAGCCAGAACTTGAACCAGCGCCCTGATGGGATGCTGGCCTCTCAAGCGGCAGCCGCTTAACCTGCTGCACCACATCGCCAGCCCCTTTCTCTCTTCTTGCCTGCATTTCCAGCTAAGGTAGCTTCCTGTCCGGCTGAAGCAGCAATGGGCCGGTGTTGGTCGCTTGTTGCCAGCAGGTGGCGCCGGTGGATAAGGCTGCAGTCCTATGCTGCTCGGTAGCTATGTCAACAGTCACAGATTGCGCTTCAGGTTCTCGCGCATCTTGTTTGGTTCACCTTCCTCACCCATTTGCCCAATGCCGACTCTCCCATCACTGGTCCTTTCACCCCTTCCTCAGCAGTTGCCTACCGAGTCCTTACTGCAGCCAAAGGGCAGCTTCAAATCCCTTCTAAAACATCCCTCTGGCTAAGAAACACAAAAGGCAATAAAGAAAATCCTAGGTCTGGCCAGAGAGCTGGACTGGTGAGAGCTGAACCAGAGCAGTTCCAGCCCCTGCTCGCCTTCTGGTCTAGGCTGGCGCCAGCTCATGCTCTTGAAGGAGGTTGCTTTTATTTTATTTTATTTTTAAGATTTATTTATTTGGAAGGCAGAGTTACAGAGAGGCAGAGGCAGAGCAGAGGGAGGGAGGGGGAGAGAGAGATAGAGAGAGATAGAGAGAGAGAGAGAGAGGTCTTCCATCCACTGGTTCACTCACCAAATGGCCACAGCAGCCAGAGCTGGGCCAATCCAAAGCCAGGAGTTTCTTCTGGGTCTCCCACATGGGTACAGGGGCCCAAGCACATGGGCCATCTTCTACTGCTTTCCCAGGGTTATTAGCAGGGAGCTGGATTGGAAGTGGAGCAGCCGGGACTCGAACCAGCGCCCATATGGGATGCCGGCACTGCAGGCAGTGGCTTTACCCACTAAGCCATAGTGCCAGCCCCAAGGAGGTTGCTTTAATTTGAATGGGAAGGTGCTTAATTTGAGGGCCACTGGGTCTGGAGGAAAATGATCCTCCTGTAGAAGCAGCTGAGACCACCCAGTCCTTAATCCAGAGACATAGCAACTGGACTCTGGGCTGGCTAACATTGCGGAGCAAGGGGAAAAAGATAAAAGCCATAAGGGGAACAGACGGAGGTGTTGAAGGTCCCCTGGGCGGAGGTGGCTGGCTGGATTCAGAGCTCTGGCAGAAGTGACTTTGCAGGGCCTTGAGCACAGCACATGGACCAGCAAGCAAACCTGGAAGCCAGGAGCCCAGGGCCCAGCTGAAGTCTGTGGCTGTGGAGGAGACACACCCTCACCCTCCTCACCCCCCCTCACCCCCTCCCCCGAGCTGTGGGCAAGGAGCTTAGCTGAAGGTCAGCTCTGTGACACAGCTGTAGAGGTGCCAGGAAGGGCTCCCTCCGTGGTGAGAGCTCTCAGTCACCACTCCCAGTGCTCAAATGCCACCATCGTGCCCTTCAGAATGAACATTGCTCCCTCTGACAGCAGGATTCCTACAAGGGGATGTGTGTGTTTATGACTTGGAGAAAAGTCTCCAAATACACAGCTTCATTGTTACCATGGGTCATCATCAGCCAGGTGCACAGTGAGTTCCAGGGATAACTGAGGAGGGATGGGGAAGGAGAGGAGGAGGTGAGAGGGAATTACGCCCGGCAGTTCACACCCCACCTGGGACACCTGTAGCCCTTAGCAGACTGTCTGGGCTGAGTCCTGGCTCCACTCTTCATTCCAGGTTCCTGCTCATGTGCACCCTGGGAGGCAGCAGGTGACGGCTGCAGTAGTGGGCCCCCGCCATCCAGGCGGAGTTCCAGACACCTGGCTGACCTGGCCCAGCCTAGGCATTTAGGGAATGCATCAGCAGGTGGGAGATCTTTATCTGTCTATCTCTACCTTTAAAATAAAATAAATAATCTTTAAAAGTATTTATTTTTATTTACTTGAAAAGCAGAGTTATGGGGGGGGGGGACCAAGAGAGAGATCTTATATCCACTGTTCACTCCACAAATGGCCACAATGGCAGGAACTGGGCCAGTCCAAAGCTAGGAGCCAGGAGCTGCTTCTTGGTCTCCCACGTGGATGCAGGGGCCCAATCTCTTGGGCTTCCTCCAGTGTTTTTCCAGGCACATTAGCAGAGAGCTGGGTCAGAAGTGGAGTAGCCGGGACTCGAACCAGTGGCCATTTGAGATGCCAGCATCATAGGCAGCAGCTTTACCTGCCATGCCACAAACTCTGGCCCCAATAAACAACTTAAAAGCCATATTAAAAGGGGTGTTTATGGGGCCAGCGCTATGGCATAGTAGGTATAGCCACTGCCTGAAGTACCAGTGTTATAGAAATCTAAGGTGGGAAGACTCCATTTTTTCAAACAGGCACCAGAGACAGTGGAGGATCAAGCAGTATATTACACTAGTGGGCTCAGCTGGAGTCATCTCCTGAGCACTGAGCAACAATCCCCAGTTTCTTACAATATTTATAGGTTCATCAGCATCGCACCTTAGCTGTCACAGCATTGGGGGGGGGGGGTTAAATTGCAGCCTACGTGACTTAGGACCACACTTCCAATGGTCGGTGGGCCCGGTATGTTTGTAAAAGAGATACCAGGGGCAGATTTCTAGGACAGATGTATGACTGGAGGTTACAGAAGCAGAGCTTAGGGCTTCTTCCCTCCCCAGACAAGGGAGCAGTGGGCAGCTGCTGCTCTAGTTAACTGCGAGCAGCCACTTTTCCAGGTCTGTGTTGGGAGGAGGGGTCTGCTTCTCTGTCTCTGTCTCTGGTTGTGGCCATATTTCCTCTACACCGGTATCCCATACAGGCACCGGTTCAAGTTTTGGCTGCTCCACTTCCGATCCAGCTCTCTGATAAGTCCTGGGAAAGCAGTGAAAGATGGCCCAAGTGCTTGGGCCCCTGCAGCTGTGTGGGAGAGCCGGAAGGTGTTCCTGGCACCTGGCTTTGGATCAGCGCAGCTCTGGCCGTTGCCATCTGGGGAGTAAACCAGTGGATGGAAGACCTCTCTCTCTTTCTCCCTGCCTCTGTCTCTCTGTAACTCTGACTTTCAAATAAATGAGAAATAAATGTTTAAAAAAAGAATTAAAGGAATTAATATATGTTAGAATTGTGGTAGCCAGAGAACCTGATCCAGCTCCCTGCTGGTGCCCTGGGGAAGGCAGTGGAGGATGGCCCAGGGGCTTGGGTTGCTGCTGCCCACATTGGAGACCTGGATGGAGTTCCAGGCGCCTGGCTTCAGCGGGGCTCAGCCCCAGCCATTGCAGCCTTTTGGGGAGTGGACCAGCGGGTGGAAGATTTCTGTCTCTCCCTCTCTCTGTCACTCTGCCTTTCAAGTAAATAAAATAAGTCTTTTTAAAAAACCTCTTGGTTGTTAGTTTTTGGCAATGAATGCAAAAAATGTTAAAAACACCATGTGGCTCAAATGGTACAGGCCAAAAAAAGCATAATTCTGTCTGATTGCCAGACCTGAGCCTGAGGGTCCAGGGTGTAGTCTCAAGTCCCCTGGGAGAGGCAGCTGGACGTAGGAGCAGCTTCAACATAGCTTGATAAGCGCAGAGACAGGAAGACGTGTGGTGGACAGAAGAGGAGCCAGGGGGTCTTTGAAGAGAAGTCTGTTAGAGAGGACCCAGCCCTAGGAGAGGGTCACAGGGATCAGGGACCCAGCAGGCTGGCAGAGGCCATGCAGGCTGCAGAGGGGCCAGGGCCTGCAGAGTGGCATTGCCCACATCATCAGGCTGTTCAACAACTTTGGAATTTTCCTGATTAACATTTCTGCTGTTTTTGATAGAAAGCCAGAGGCTGTTTCTGAACCTCCGCCCCCTTCCCCCCAACAACAACAGCAAAGCCCTTGCGCGGTCATGAGGCAGCCAGGCTCCTCCTCTTGCTCATTCTGTGCCCTCACTCAGGTCCTTTTGCCCCCAGGGGATGGAAGGAAATCCAGGACTGTTGACCTTTGTCTGAACACCTTGGACTTGCCAGCACAAAGATTTGCACAGGAGGGGATGTGTCCGTTCTTCCCAAATCGCTCTCTGCTCTGTGTCCAGAGCCAAATGCACTTGATGATTCAGAGATCGCAGGGGTGGCCAGCAGGGCCCTGGGCTGGAAGTCAGCAGCCTGTTCCAGTCTTGGTCTTGTGGATAGATTCCTGGTGTTGCCATGGAGGAGAGTGGGCCACCCACGTTCAACAGTGGCCAAGCGGGAAGGTTGGGTGGTCCTGAGTGGACCTGGCGCCGGTGTGGGTCTTGTCCCGC